CATTTGATAAAGTTTAAATTTTTAACAATGCACGAGTTATGTAATTCATTGATGTTACTCTAAGCCTTATTAATATCAAACTGATTGAAAAGCAATTGCCAAAGAAAATATTAATATATAAAATACAATCTGAATTTCAATGTAAATAAAGCAGTTTGAACATATGGGTTTCTCTAAGATGATTAAACGTTTGCTGTACGCAAACTTTGCAACTTGTAGTTCTAAAATAATAGGAGTATTAGCACCATTAACAATACCACCCTTGCATATCACATTTATGTATTACTTTTGGCAAGAATACTCACGAGATGTGGATAAACAATATTGCTCATGTTCGTGTTGGGATACAGTGTTCAAAGGTAAGTGAATGTCATTAATAAGAAATTACTTGTAAAATACATTAAAGATATTTTGTGATTTTTAGGGTCATATGAATCTGGCATTGCTTCTTACAAGCACATGTACTTCAATGCCACTACAAATACTCTAAAAATATGGATAACCATTGTAATGGGAATAATTCTGTTTTATGAAACAGTGAAACATTTAACATGGCTAGCATTTCAAAATCGTCTCAGATTTAGCATGACGATACTTTTTTCCACTGCTATTTTTTCTCACTATTATACTTGGTGGGTTTATATGAATTATTGGAATGATGAATTTTATTCTCAGTGGTACCATCAGTTATTTTTCTCCATCACCGAACTGGTATCTACAATCCTGGTTATACATTTAGCAGATACAAAGAATCCAATCACACATAGAAAAGCCTTTGGCATTGCTGCAATTGCTATTCTACATATTGTAGCAGGTGGTTGGGATCAATTTGTTGCTAATGTTGTTAGAGGGGAAGGCTATGCACATCAGGTATTACTCTTTATAACGTACATTGATTACAAAGCCCTATTTAATGTAATAATGAAGACATTTCTAAACTAATGTGATTTCTTTGATTAGTGGGAACTGAATTAGCTGAATCCAGAAGAAATTTTATTCCATTTCATTTTATCTATTCAGTGTTGATTTCATTAGTCAGAATATTAATTCTGGAACACAAAATTAATCAATTTTTATTGCGATTAATTTTTTTAATCAATTAAGACTCTATTACACTTTTCATGATGTAATGATATTTCCTTAGGTAAATATCTTTTTAACTCCCAACATGTAAAATATTACCGAGAAATGTCTTCACATGCTGTGTATAAACTTGTATTTGAATACTTAGATAATAATTTATGTTTGATAGGTGGTGCGAGATCTAGGATTCATGATCCCAGATATACTCCATGTTGGTATTCCTTTATGGGCAGTTAAGTGGAAAAATATATATAATCTTCCAGGGTCAACCAAAAGAGATCCTAGTATCAAAAGGGATTTGGCATACATGTTAGGGATGATATGTATAGGATTGTGCATTTGTGCCATTTTGTAATATCTCAACAATTCCAATGCCTAAGAATTGTGTCTTACAGATTGATAGAAAATATTTCACTTGATTTTTCTTATAAAAATTTACAGGGTGATTGTACAACATCAAGTGAATTTTACTTAGAGGTAAAAAAGTAGTTTTGTGATTTTTGAAATAATGATGTCAGTATCCGAGTGAAAAGTAGCCATTAATTTGATTCAATCTGTTCACCTAATTAAGACTACTTTCACTGAGAACAGGCTATATAACTAACAAAGCTGTAGTATTTTTATTGACAGTAGACTGATAGAATTTTTATTTATCATGAATAGGATTTAGAAAGTTCTTAATAATATTAAGCAATTGTTATGTAG